GAGTGCTACACTGGACGAAGAGGAAGACACCTTTTTCAACGCGGTCGCACCGGATGAACACGAAGTGTCGGAAGACGGACCGGATGAGACCGCGGAAGATGTGTCCGACTTAGCTTCCCAGATTCTGCCCGGCACTTCCGTCCAGAAGCTCAAGATGGAGTACGAACGGGTTATGCGACTGAATGCTGAAGAACTGGACCTTGAGCCTGCCGTGTACATTCACGAAGGTAGCGATCTGTTGTCGCAGTTACGGGATCAGCTAGCACTTCTCCCGGAGGTACAGAATCTGAGCCCCGAATGTGACATTGACAAAGCAGATGTTGGTGAACCTGGTGTGAGCAGACCGGATGATGAACACCGGTTGCGTGGCATTCTGAGTTACCACCGGCGAATTTTCTTAGGCGACGGCAATGCAGCGCCTGCCCCAGCTCGTGGAGTCGTGTGCGATCTGGATGTGGGCAATGCCAAGCCGGTCGCACCGCATCTCGCGATGAAGGTGTATGAGTTGCTGAAGAAGTTGCTGGAGACCGGATTGGTCGAGACGTCCACATCACCCTGGGCTTCACCAATTGTGATCGTGCTGAAGGAAAATGGAGTCGACATTCGGATGTGCATCGATTATCGACTAGTGAATGCTTTTATCCAGTTGTCCAACTACCCACTCCCGCTCATCGATGACCTTCTGATCGGTTTCGAGAGTGCGATGTGGCTCATGAGCCTAGACATGGTCAGTGGCTTCTGGGCGATCAGGATGACGGAGCGAGCCAGGATCATTTCGGCGTTCGTGTCGCCATTCGGTCACTACCAGTGGCGACGCATGCCATTAGGTCTGAAGAATGCTCCTTTGGTCTACCAGCAGATGCTCAACAATTGCTTGTGGGGTTTTGTCCGGTTGCCGCCCGATGAGGAAGCCGAAGTGGATCAGGACGTACTGGATTATCTGGGCTTAAAGCCGCAAGAGGACAATGTCACGCTGAGCGGTACCGAATCTGACGAGGAGATCCTGTCCGGTCGACAACTTCCTGCATTGACGGACCAGATGACCGTGTTCCAGCGCAATATTCCGGCGCCGATGCAGATGGGTCCTGTCCTCGGACGGAGTTCTTACATCGATGACATCACGCACGGGGCGCCTGCGTGGGATCAACTGTGTATCGACCTAGATGCGCTACTTTTCCGGTTGCGGTACTGGAACATTTCGGTCAGTCTGCCGAAGAGCGAATTCGGTAAGCGCTCGATTCCGTACTTATCGCACGAGATCAGTGCTGAAGGGCTCCGAGCGACACCGAAGATCACCAAGGGGGTACTGGATCTGCCGTTCCCGTCTACTTTGAAGGGCATTCAGTCTTTCTTGGGCAGTCTGATTTACTACCACAAGTTTATCGAGGATTTTCCGGTAGTGACCGCAGTCATGTACGAGCTGAGCGATGATCAGGTGCGCGCCGGTCGAGACCTGTCAAGGGCGAAGGAGGCGTTCGAGATTCTGAAGCGGAAGATCGTGTCTACCCCGTTGCTCCGACATCCGGACCGGACCAAGCCGTTCATCATCATCCCGCACGCAAACAAGTGGGCCGCCTGCGCGGTCCTCGGACAAGAGCATGACGGACTGATCCAGCCCGTGCGTTTCACGGGGCGCGTACTGAATGAATCAGAGATTCGGTACCACATCGCGGAGAAGGAAGTCATTGCGGTCATGAGAGTGCTGGATGTGTTCAGGACGATCCTGGGGGGGGCGTTGATTGTGTACACCCGCTATTCGGTACTCAAGTGGGTGATCCACTCCAAATCTGCGGATGGACACTGTGTGCCGTGGGGCGTTGCGCTATCTCAGTGGGATCTGGAAGTTCGCCGTGTCCAGCGAGATGAAGATGGTCTGGCCGCTATACTCGGTGCGGTTATAACCCCCCGGGAGCATCTGGACCGGATTGCGGAGTCGCTGATCCCAGCCAAGGGGCGCGTCAAGCCGCCGCCAGTTATCAGTGTGGAAATGCTGGACGCCAACTTTGAAGGGATCGTGCTAAGTTTCGACGGAGCCGCGAAGACATCGACACGTCAAGGGAGCTGCGGATGCATTCTGTGGAGCCTACCCGGTTGGGACGTACTGGATGCGCAAGGCTTCATTCTGAACGACGTCACAGTAAACGACGCGGAGTATCACGGCTTACTGAATGGGTTGACCATGGCACTTGACCGTGGGATCACGGACCTCATTGTGGTTGGAGACTCTCGCATCGTGATACAGCAGGTCCAAGGGCTGATCAATTGCAACCAGCCCAACCTGCAACGACACTTGGCCCAATGCAAAACTCTGGAGGGGCGATTCGGTACGTTGCGACTGGTTCACGTTAAGCGTGAGTACAACTCAGCCGCGCATTACCTAACCTCCAAGACACTAGCGCTTGGCGCCACGTGGACAGTACAGGATGAAGAGGAGCGAACCCACTTGCAGCGAGTGTCGAAGATCCACGACAAGCTGATGAAACCGGTAGTTGTGACACCGGATGTTGCTGAAGCTGGTCAAGACGTACCAAATTAAGATGCAACCGAGGCAGCAGCGACACCGGATGAGGTGACACCGGACAGTGCCGAACAGGATCCTGAGTCAGCACCACTGCCCAACTGTGCCCGAGTCATAGCGGTCTTAACCCGGTCGAGAACCCAGGAGCAGACCGAATCCAGCGAGCCATTGGGTCCGCTGGAGTTCCAAGCCGAACGGTGGCACCGAATTAAGGCGCACCAGGACCAGGATGAGTTCATCGCAGAAGTGAAAGCGTATCTGAGTGGAGACCTGAAGCGATTCTCTCCCAGGCGACTGCGGAAGATCGCGAAGCGCTCTGACCTGTTTGCGCTGGACGCCAGGGGCGTTCTGTACCGACTCGCGCGTTCCACACGGGACCGACCTCGGGACGTACAACAACGGACAGAATGCAACTGCCGACACCAGGAACTGCCACCGGACCAAAGGCAAGGTACCCGTGTGCATAAACTAAGATACCATGCACTATCCGTGTCACCCTAATTTATTGTTTTGGCCAATCAAATTAGATTTGTGGTTATGGATTATGTTTTCAATACAAACTTTAATATACTATAAATATGCGCAAATCTTCATAATAAATGCGTTTACCAATAGAATACCTTCAGTTGGAGCGGCTGTTTTAGTAAGGTACATTGATGTGCGAGCTTAGAGTCTTCACCATCAATCAATGCTGGCAGTTACATTCTGTCCGTTGCTGTACAGAATGAACCTCGCCTGGTGGTGCCCCAGACTCTGTACACCGACCTGTTGCGCTACGCTCACGAGGATTTCCAAGGTGGACACCAAGGCATCACGCGCACACAAGAACGACTCCGGACCGAATTCTATTGGCCCGGTATGTACGCCGACGTCGAACGTTTTGTGAAGGAGTGTGTCGATTGTGCAAGCGAAAGGGGCGACCTCCCAATCCTGGACCGTCGCCTGGTAACATCGAGCCTCGGCGCCTATTCGAAGTGGTGTCTATGGATTTCGTGACGCACATGACCAAGTCAGCACGGGGAAACACTTTCGTGTTGTTGTTCCAAGATTCATTCTCGGGCTATGTGATGTGTAAACCCATGTCGTCTACGACGGCACAGGATGTGGCTGAGGCATACGAAGAGCGAGTCTTTCGGAATTTCGGTGCGTCGTCGATGATCAGACACGATCAGGATCCTCGCTTCATGAGTGAGGTGTTCACTCGTTTCCGGGAGCTGTTGGGTAGCCGTCAACGCGCGACCCTGGCCTATCGCCCTCAGGCGAACGGCAAACAGGAGCGGTCCGTCCAGACCGTCATTCGGAGCATCCGCGCGTACATTGCCGAAGCAGACCAATCTAACTGGGATGACCATGCAGAACGACTGATGTTCGCACTGAATACCTCCTTCGACGCGACCAGACTGGATACCCCTTCTATCTAGTGCACGGTTGGGACGCACAAGAAACGGTGTCGGCGATGCTAGGGCCGAAACCATCCAGTGTGCCTGAGCGTACAGCATACGAGTGGCGTCGAAAGTTTCAGCGCGACTACAGCTATGCGATCGCATGTGCCGAAGATCTTCAGAAGCAGGCGAAGCGGACACGATCTGAGGAGCAGACACGAAAGAGGAAAGAACTCTCCGAATGATTGAAGACCGGATTCGGGAAGGGAGATTCGGTATGGCTTTACATCCCCAAGGTCCAGACAGGATTGAGCCGCAAGTTGGCTCACATGTGGCACGGGCCGTTCAGGATCTACGAGGTTCATGACGACTTCCGCGTGAAGCTCAAGGTTGTAGGGTTGAAACCCTACACAGGATACCGCGTCAACCCGTGGGTATACATCAGTCGCCTCAAGCCTCGAGCGTTGTTCCCGAAACGACCTGCCACGGAACTCGAGCTGGATGACGATGATGATTTTGATGCGGCGTTACTACCTGAGGACAGCTGGGAGTCGAACGAACAGAATGACGAGTACGAAGTGGAAACGATTCTGGACCTCCGATGGACGAAGCGTACGCGCACGTCCAAGCGAATTCGCGAGTACCAGGTCAAGTGGAAAGGATAAGATGATCCGGAGTGGTTGCCAGTAACCCAGCTCAACTGTGATGCACTTCTCTATGAATTCAACCAGAGTGCCCGCGCTAAAGCTCGGTTCCAGTCTATGCAGGCTGGTGATGACCACCCCAGTGCCTAGCACAGCGGATGACTCGACTGATCCTGACCGCTGATGTGTGAACCGACTATACCTGAATGTGATTTTCGATTGTGGTTTTGATAACGACGACGCATGGAGATTGTGAATGAGACTGAAGGAAGTGTCAGCAGACAGAATGAACTAGTGATCGTGAAGTGAACGAGTGTGAACGGACCGAATCTGGAAGTGGGCGGACCGGATCTGGAGCAGACAGACGGAATGAGTGACAAGAGAACGAAAAGATAAGTGATGAACGTGGAGTATGTGGAATTATGCAGTTAGCAGAAGGCGACGCCAAACGCGCGACTAGTTTTGGTGCTCGTCAGAGACCCAGTTGCCACGCAGCTCGTTTGGAGGCAGGATCATGTCTCTAATCTCTTGAGGACGAGCAGCGACGAGGTCGTTGGTGGACCACCCGGTCCACTGGATGCGGGCGGGTTCCGCGCGGTCCAGCATCGCCAACTGCTCCATCATTGTATATGGCTCGGTGCCGAGGTTTGTCTCCGACCGGTCGAACAGGATCCAGTGACAGAGCTTGGCGGGGTACACCCAAATGCCTGGTTCGTACAGGATGGTCTTGGGCGCTCCAGACGCTTTCAGCTTGGCGATCAACTTGTTGTAGTCCTTGATGGCCGCGTCATGAAGTTTCTTGCGTGCCGCTTGGGCCCTGGCAGCTTCCACGCTGTCCGCATCGAATGTGACCCAGTGACCGGCGTGCCAGAAAGTCAGCGCGTTCTCCTTCATGTAGGTCACGACCTCGGACAGAACCTCGAGAGTGCTATCCGGTAGCGCACTGCGCTTGTGGAACAAAAGGTGCACGACGCGTCGTCGGAACACGCGCCGACCGGGATTGCTATCCAGAATGACCTCGTACTCGTCGAACCGGAACCGCGCCTTCAGAGATTTCGAACCACCATTGTGGTTCGGTGCGTAATCGGGGAACCCGGGAGACTGTGGTCGACAGCGTTGACCGTACTAGGTGCGAACGTAGTCAGGATCCCCTTGTGGCGCCAAGACGTGACGCCCGGACCCGGCTTCTCGTTCACGTTCAATTCTTCCGGTGTGAGCTCGTTCATGTCCTTGCGGGTCAGGGGCGTCTTCTTGCGGTCATCGCTCGGTCGGGTCTTCCTCCTTTTCTTGGCCGAGGGTGCACTGGACACCGAATCCGACTGTGACGACATCGAGCTGGTACGACGCTTGGGCCTGCGGAGAGGCGACACCGATCTTGAGTGCTTGACGAGTCCCGTAACAGCACTGACAGCGCACGTAGCTCATCCTCTCTGGCCTTGGCCCGTGCGATCTTGGCTTTCTCTTCCGCATTGGGTTCCCACGTGGCATCACGACTCTCGCTGTCACCCTCGTCGTCATCCGGTCCGAGAAGCAAGTCGCTGTCATCGTGATTGTAGTCGATCAGGTCTGGCCAGTATTCAGGTGTATCGCTGTCGTCTGCCCACCGTTCCAGTATCTCCTCCGCGCGCAAGTAGTAAACCTCCGGGACGTACGTCGTCCAGTACGTGGAGTCCAGGCGATTCCAGAACATCATGCGCGCCAGCATACAGGATAACTCGAACGGGAAGAACATGTTGTGGGCCACCGTGTCCGTGTCCAGCAGTTTCATGGCGGCGTGATACGTTAATCCGGTGCGCATGGCCAGCTGGACGTCGGTACGGAGTTTGCGCCACACGATCGGGAGGTTGACCAAGGAGGCGCACGCAGTCTTCTCGTCAATCAGGTACTCCTTGCCGACCGGGCGAGCAGCGTCGCCAGACTCATCCCATGCAATAGGGCGCCACTGCGCTTGGTCTGGCACCTCGCGTTGACGCTTGGCCGTACCGGATGACGGTTGTGCAAAAGCCTGCTCCATCGGTCTGGAGTCACCGGTGAGATCCAGAATGGAGACGCGCCGGCCGCTTGGTTTGGTGCTCCCGCTCGATCCAGAGTTGCCATTCGGTCCGGAGTCGCCACCGTTATCTTTCTCTTCGGTGTCGTCTTCGTGGCGAAAGTTGAACGGACCAGGCTCGGCGAACATATCATCTGCCGAAGTGACGTTGATCAGTGTCTGCCATTCAGGTGGCGGAGTCGTGCAATGCTTGAACAGCTCCTCCAGGCGACGCCAGTTTCCGGTCACCTTGGTCTGGTTGCGGTTCAGGAAGTTCATCATTTGGTCCACGTCGAAGGCGTGAGACGAGAGAGACTCGACACACTTGTTGGACGTACCGAGCTTTGCCTCTAGCGCTGCAATCTGGTCCCGCAGAGACTGCTTTTCGTTTTCGTGCTCTGCCATCAACTTCTTGATGTCCGCCCGGTAACGCTCGGTGGTCCTCTCCTTTTCCTCCTTGAGGTGGTCCGTGATGACCTGCCACTGCCCGACCAACTGGCCCAACGCGACCTGAAGCTGTGTGTTCTCCTTCTGAGTGGCGAACAGCATGTCAGCCGTACCGGATCCCTGCGTCTCCACTTGGTGTCGCATGAGTCGATATTTGACGAGCATATGCCGCACGATGGTGTTCATACCGAATACCCGCGGAGCCAAGTCACGACACTCGTAGACGGACAGAATGGACGCCACCTCGCGACGCACAGAGAGGGAATTGAGCAGGGTCTCCAATTCGGTCGGGTTGGGCGAACTGGCCAGGGGACGAAGGAAGAACTCGTTGACGTCTTCACGCTCGCCGACCAGCTCATTCAGCTCGACCAGATCCGTAGCAGTGAGCCCCTCGATCGACGTCAGCACTTCCAGTCCGCCATACCCTTCGCGGACAAAGCGGTTGCTGCCGATGTGGTCCAGACGCGCGGGGACACTGACCATACAGAATGCGCCGTCCGGTTTGGACTCGGGAGGTGGGTCCCACACGGCCGGTGACCCGTCATCTGCTGGCGCACCGAAGTTGGTCGCTCCTGGAAGGCCTGCACCTGCAGGCATGGCGAGGGCCTCATGCGCGGACAGGATGCGCCCGGAGATACTGCGCTGCTTGCGGAGCACGCGCTCGGCAAACTCACGCGCTTCGTGAACCACTGGAGGCTGCCGGCCACCTTCGTCGTTCTCGTTCTCGACGTCGGCGCCTTTGTTGTTACCCTCGGCGCGCTTGAGCGTCGTGGCATTGCTGCTCTCCATCTCGGTGGAGCATCCATCTTGATTGACGCCATCGTTGGACGCGCGCTCGCCGCCGGAGCCGCCGGCGCTTCCACCCGAGCTCAAGTTGGCACCCACGTCACTGCCTTCCCGTGGAGGAGCTAGCGGAAGTTGTGCCGGGCTCGATGGCTTGCTACCAGGCGTTTCGGCCGCGTCGTTCGCCTCGGCCATGGCGCTGATGAGTCGCTCGATGGAGAATGGATTGTGTTTTGAGGCGCACTGTTTCTGCCAGTTGGATTGTGATGTGCGGAGACCCGTCACGGAGACGGGACGTTGGGTGACATGCGTTCTCGGAAAGACCCTCTCAACGATTTTGCGATTCGGTACGACCCTCCATTCGGAGTGGGAGCCATCGTGTATGGGTCTGGTCATGTCCTGTCACCTCGGTGGCAAGATTCTCTGTGAAAGATCCTGAGCAGAGGAGCGGTTGATACGATGTGGAAACAGATTTTTGTCTGCACCCATGTCCGACCCCATGGATACGTGGACCCTTCGGTGAGCTGTGATTGGTCGCATGAGATGGAGATCCGGTAGAGACGAGTGTGACGTGTGGATTGTGGATATGTATGGAGATTTGGTGGGACCCGGCACTTGCAGCAAGCATGGGCTCACAGGATTGGAGATGCGCCCACCGGATGAGCGCTCATATTCGGTGTGGAGTCACGCATCCTGTCCGTCCGCCAACTTCCCTAACTGCAGGATAGGCCCAAGGCGCGAAAGTGTGGCCAGCGAACGTATCCTGGCCACTGCCTGCATTGGCTCAGTCTAGTTGTCGGGCTACCCCACTGAATCGGCCCCATCAGACACGATCATGCGCACGCAAGACCCTGCTGGATGAAGTCTCGTGTTGTCCGCACCGGATCGTGGTGCACCCGGTGATGGCGTACCGAATGAAGAGGTGTCACACCGGATGGGGACAGACCGGATCGTTCATTCGCCCCCCCCCCCCCGTGCCCACACTGGATGTAGACGCACCAAGAACAAGTCCAGTGCGCGCCGCGTGTGTTCGCACAGCGGCGTCGATCCAGACCGGACGAGACCAAGATCCCCCAAGATCCACGGGCGGCACCGAATGAGCCGCAGATCCAAGGGAGAGGTCCAGTTCCAAGACGAAGAGACGATGTACCCAGATACCTCCGTCATCATCTGATGAGTGTACCCGAACAAGTGTCGCCGTCAACAAGTCTCCGCATACCGAAACCAAGAAAAGCATACTGAAGATCTGCCAAGAAGCACAAGCATACTCAAGACAAGGGAATTATAGTGAAACCTACATTAAAGTCAGCGAAGTGATAGAATATAGCTAGCCAAACGTAAGATCTAAACTGAAACCAATTTGCTGAAGAACACGCGGACGACTCTGTGCTCGGGGCAGATTAGCACCCCGACTTTGACGTCTTCAAGAGCCCTCCGGGAGACTGCCTGCGCGCGGTCTAAGTACGTTTAGGGACGCTTCCAAGGTCTCACTGGGGGGTTCACACTGAAGGGTCCGGCATACACTATTCCGGAGAGTTTTCCGGCTCTAAGCCGGATCAGCGTCCACACTGACACTATTCCGATTTTCACATTAATATAAAAGTATTCCGAATTTCTAAAAAGGCTAGCAAGAAACTCGTTGGCTACCATTCGCAGGTTTGTCAGGTGTCCATGGAGAGCGAAGAAGGAGATTGCAGCACAGAGTGGTGGTGTCGGTAGCGCGGCCAACGACGCGGGCTCTGCTGCTCAAGTTTCCGGCAGCGGGATACAAGCTGATGGCCGGATCGAAGGTTCCAAACAGAAGAAGAATGCGGCCACAAAGCGCCATACGCGGGGAAAGGTGTGGGGAAGAGAAGAGATTCAACTGCTCATCGGTGCGTGGAAGGCCGCCTCTGTTGAGGAGCTACCAGAAGGGTCCACTGCCAAGCATGTTGCTACGGCTGTATTCAACGCATACATTCTTCCGCTTGCTATTGACAAAGGCAGAGCTGCTCGGAGAGCATGTAGAAGATGCAAGCTCGTTTTTAGCGCGTATGGCAAAAGCGCCTCTTAAGCCTGAAGGTGGTATCGCGGTTACGGATACGGATTTCAGGCCGTGGCAACCGCGGGCGGTGGAAGACAAGATGGCCTCACTGAGGTCGAGCTACTCGTTGATTTCTGACCACAACAACGGGACTTTGGTAGGGAGCACAGGGCGGCCTGCGTGGTTTGAAATGCCGCCCGCTGGCGAGCCGAAGTTTTAAAAAAGTGGGGCCGTGTCGCGCTCACGGCGGATTGTTATCAAGCACTGGTGGAGATTTTCGAGGGCGATCCAAGTATCAGGCCCATCGATGGTGGTTTAGCGATTGGTGCGAGTGAACATCTCGCCGAAAGTTCCCTATCCGAGCCAAGTTCATGTGGCACGAAGCGGACGCGGACCGAAGATATTGAGGATATTGCGCAACGGGATCGTGAATTATATCTGCAACATCAAAAAGAAGAAAACGAAAAGACCCGCTCATTGCTCCGCGAACTATTTTCTAGTCAGTAATAGCTTCGCATTTACACTTCGTTTTAACACGTCTTTCAGGTTTGTCCTCGCTATCTCGATAGGCTTTGATAGAAGCCGCCATCGCATCTTCGCAACACCAAATGCACACTCGTCACAGTAGCGCATTCCAGCGAGCTTCCGGTGTAGTTTGCTAATTACCACACTTCTTTGGGTCTCCGCTATCTCATACGTTGTCACAACGTGCTTGGAGTTAGCATACGCCGAGTCTGCAAGTAGGAAAAACGGGATTTTTCTGTACTCGAATCACCCAGTTTGAAGTAAGCCAGCCCCAATGCCTCCACTCGCACTTGAAAAGGATGACGCATGCAGGCGCCCTACAGCACTGTTTGAAAATACACGGCTATCTCGAACCGAGCCAGGCCAACGTACGTCAATGTCGAGGAATCTCCGATCTCGATCCACTACAGCACTCATATTTAGCGAATAGAAGCCTTTCCGGTTGTAGAACTTCTTGCTATTTTTCACTGCTGGCTGCACGATAGGAATATGGCAGCCGTCGAGGGCACCAACGCACCCCGGAATGCCATACCCATCTTCAAAACGCATAGCAAGCTTCATCAACGCCTGTCGACCCGACGGAAATCTCACCAGCCCGCTCATCTGGCTGACAATTGCACTGGATACGTCGTGCACAATGCCGGATGCTGTCGATTTCCCTATTCCAAACTGGGAGCGTAACTGGTGTAGCGAGCAGCCTTGGCCAACGTAGAATAAGAACACAGCTAGACGTACTTCTGCTGGCAATGGTTTCCCAAAATTGGTTGTCTCCTTCTTGATATACGGCTCCACAATCAACAGCAGCCGTTTGAACGAGGCTCTCGTCACTCGAAAGTTTGCTCTGAACTCGCTTTCATTCATCTGCGGCGAAAAAACTTTCATTCTCCATTCAATACTTCTGGAAATCTTCGTTCGCGTGGAGCCAATTCGCACTGATTCCGTAGCAAAAGGAACAGTTAGCTCATGAACAAGAGGAACTGTTCCTGAGGGCCGGTCTTAACCACTGCCGTGACATGCCATGTCATGGCATTTGGCCTCCGTGTGATGGCACCATGGCACCGACTCGATAAGAATGAAATGTTGCCAATGTAGTCATCACGTGCCATACGGCAATATTTCAGATAGAAAATTCTCATTGCAAAGGAAACATCAAGATGAGTGGCACGACAAGCAAGCGCGCCGCGCACGCAACGCTCGGCGCCCGCTGCTGCTGAAGAAGCTCCTGACCCGCCAGCCGCCTCGTTGGATGGTGTCGCTAACGCACCATTAGCAGTGCGCTCGCTGCTTGCTGCTGACCCGACGGCAACTTCGGCCCAAGTTGAAGCTGCCCTTGAAGCCCAGCCCGCTCGAACAAGTGCGGAGCTGCTTCGAGCGATCGACGAAGCGTACGTCTTCCCAGTCAATACGCTCGCGTTGGCGGCACTTCCGGCGCATGTCGACGGGGAGTGCCACGAGGAGCACCAGCAGTAGCAGCTGCACGTAGAAGACGGGGAGCTTGGGGGGGGTGAAATTTGACGTTTTACTGGGATATTTGTGAGTGTGGCACGGTGGCATTCGCAACTTTTGTGGCATAATCATTTTGCCATGGATGGCATTACTACCCTATCCCTAAATTCGGCGGGCCAATCATATAGCAGCAAGTTATGCCATGGCATGGCATGGCAGTGGTTAAGACCGGCCCTGAGCGTGCTGGTAAAGTCGGCGTGTCTGACACGAGGCGGTCCCCAGAAAATTGCCGACGATGTGCCGTCACCTCTGTGACTTGGTGTTTGTATCGGATGCTGATTGGTGGATGACTTGGATACGGCGCGGCTGTACCCGTGTGACATGGATGGCGACAGTGGGAGAGAAGTGATTTCTCGGGATGAATCCAGCGCCTGACCGCAGATGGGCCCAACTGGCTGGAAGTGTGAATCCTGGGAGTGCACGCCCAGGATTTCAGAGAACACTCAGTCCAGCCGCGGACTTTCCCTGACGATGAGTGCCTAAAGTCTGGCGGAAAGTGTCTCTGGATAATGTATCCCACAGTACACCTCATCTTGCTGCGGCTCAAAATGCCTCAGAGGATCAAATTACCCTGACAATCAACCCACTACCACCATGATCTTGCGCAGGAGGCCGCTAAACCCGCTAAAAGTGTGGCTTTGTGGAGATACACGCGAGCCTGCAATGCAGCAGACTTGTTACCCAGAGTGCCGCACGATGACCCAGAGTTCACCTCCCTGAGTGCAGGTGACCCAGAGTTCCAAAGATGATTCTCTGGGTTGGACCATAAATCCAGACTCTCTATACTGAACTTAAGTGTTTCCCAAGCCAACACCCAAGAATCCCCACAGTTCCCCAAGATTCCCCAGGATTTCAGAAGATGACCCTGAGTGTCACCTGATTTTCAGGGATTCGAGTCAGTTCGAAGCCGGTCTGCAATCAAGGTGATGCGTGACCTTGAAGAACCGTTGTGGATGCTCAGACTGGAAGGAGTCGAGAGGGAGTCCTGCACCATACTAAACCAAGTCTAAGGACCCACAATTGGCACTTTCGACGCCGTGCGACAATGGATTCGCAAGCCGATCGCAAGTTTGGACCGCTGAACCCAAGGTATACTCAAGACAAGACATTTTGACCCCAAGCATAGTAAACAGAAGATATTTGCCCGAAGAAGAGAGAGAGAAAGAGAGAGAAGTAGCTGATAAAAACCAAACAGACTTCAAATTTCCCTGTACTGCGCAAGTGACTTCGGCCAAGCCTGCCGACGGAAATCCGGAGGACCCGAGACTACGACCGCGGGGCGCTAAGGGCACATCAACGGCGAAGGACAGCCGTCTGTGTGGGCTCCATCAAACTCAAGTCCAGTTAGGTGGTGACCAGCGACGGCCTTGAGCTTCCTGGTGTGATCCATCTATTCCATATCCTAGTTGGGTCACTTGCTGTGCTCGTGGTAGCCCATTTCATATTATTCCAGAGGGTATTCTGGGGTGCTAGGTAGTCGCCTCCAGGATTTTGTATTGACTGCTTGTGTGAAGGGAAGGTAACTAATAGTGATTGTATTTTCCTCCTTTATTGGAGGTGGTGCGCGTTTGTGTGAGTCTCAGGGGAGCTAGGCCCCTGAATTTCAGACTCGAGTGAGCCTAGTGTGTGTGTGACCCACCATCCAAGGGTCCAAAAGAATAAGTGACGGCTAGTTGTAGTGTTTGTATACTCTGTATTTGTTGGTTTTATCGAGCTAGAAGGGCATTGGGGTAAGGTGTCTTCTGAGTTCCAAGTCCCAGAGTTGACTGAAATCCTGGACCCTGAATTCGTGATATTCTGGGTTTCAGGGGATCTGATTCTCTGGGTTTGCCTTTTGGTGTGGAGGTGCGTTCTGAAGTAGACGTACGCTCCCGCACTTCTTCGAGGCTACATTTTCAACCGGTGGAGTGCCGTTCCGTCGAAGACAAACGAGCCGACAGGGATTACACAAGGTACCCACGCCAACCAAGAAGTGTGATTCTCAGGGTTTAAAGCTTTACGGCTGCGAATCTATGGGTCTATCTTCTTGCTGTTGACTCTCAAGTCGATTCTCTGGGTCTACCCATGGGGAACAGTCTTGGGCTGCTCTATACGAACCCCCCTGGGCGACAAAGGTTTCATCGGCCTCGCCTCAGCTGGTGCGCGTGCCCGGATTCGATTGTCGAGGGTTTCGCCTGAATCAAGTGTGGAAGAAGTGCTGAGTGTTCGTCAACTTCAAGCTACCAAGATGCCTGGAGGACGAGGGGCGAAGAAGAGTGGACGCGGTGACGGAGGACGCGGTGAGGCGTCACGTCAGTCGCGTCGTGTTCAAGGTATGGAGCCTGAGGAGCACAAGGACCTGGAAACAGTCGTCCGCGACGCTCGGAAGGCGAAGAAGGCTGCTCGCGAGAGCGAGGCAGTGCAAGGTGGGGACGGCGAGGCGTCTGCAGTCCAAGGTCAGCCTGCTGTTGGATCGCAAACTCAGGAGGAAGAGGTTTCCCCTGAGTTCCAAGGTTCGACGGAGGTGAATTCTGGGTCGCCGATTCCTGAAGTCCCAGAGGAGCACACCCGCGAGGGTGGTGCTCAGGCGTCTGAGGGAGGCGCCAATGCGGTTGAGCCCCCGGAGGTGATTGACTTGGTCTCATCTTCGGACGAGTCTGTTATGGAAGTGAAACCGGAGTCCGTGCGAGCGAAGGAGGAGGCGAAGAACCAGAGTTCCAAGGTGAATTCTGGGTTCGCACCACCTGAACCCAGAGTCTCAACGCCAAGTTCGCAGGCGGCACCCAGGAAGACGCCTGAAAGCGACATCCGGGAAGCTGCTGCGCCTGCTCCGGAATCGGGAGCAGCGGCGTTGGACGCCGGGAGCATGGTGCTGTACGTCCGACGTGAAGTTCGACGCTGGGAAGAGGTGAATCCTGGGAAGGTGACGCCGCCAAGTGTCGTTTATGAGTGGCCGACTCCGAAACCGGATGCCAACTCGTACTTCGCGGCCGCGTACGCAACGGGAGACTACTTCAAGTGACGTTTGTCTCTGGCGAACCAGGATGAAGCCTGGATCTCTGAGTTTCACCTCGCCCGGTGGGGTGTCGGAACTGCCCAGAATCTCATGGCGACTACGATTCCCCACAGTATCATGACCGCACGCGAGTGCGTCGCCATTCTGCAGACTCTGTTCTTCGAAGCCGGATTTGAGTTTGTCAACTTGATCCCTGGCTGGTCTTCGACGGGTGCTTCCAGGATTTCAGAAAGTCTGGTGCGCTCTGTCATGGAGTAAACCCAGAATTTCATCGCCGTGGAACTGGTCGAGTGGAGATTGGTGATAGCTGCTGTGCCTTTCAAGGTAAACTCTGAAGATCACGCCACACCAAGCGCCCAAGAGCAAGCACCAAGACCGGACTACCACAAGGAAGACGGAGACGGTGATCTATTGATGACGGACTACGATGCGGATCTACTGGGCCGACAGTTTGTCCTGAGATTCAGAGTCACTGGACTCAGGATTTCACGGAGCCCACGATGGTCGAGTAATGGTGAGTCGCGATCCAAGCGCACTCAGCATGGACCGCCTCGCCCGCCAGTCCCGTCAACGCCATCCGCGCTGTCTACACCGTCGCTGTCCTCTCTTCTAGCGTACAAGTCTTCGACTGGTGCCTCGCTTCAGAATTCCACTCCCCTGAATTCCATGTCCAATGGACGTGATTCTCTGGAGGCGGAAGCCAAGGATGCTACCCCAGGCGCGGTGCCAAGTGTCATCGGTACCTCGCGCGCTTCGAATGAGAGTACTGCCTCGGGCGTTCAAACGTCTTATGGTAGCTCTTCATCTTCGTCGATGATGTCACTTGGACAACGAGTTGGAGCTCTAGCGCTTGTGGCCCAGAGAGCCGGTGGCTTCGCAGCTGCCGGTGATCTTGGATTTCAGGCCACCCGGACAGTCATCCCGTCGCGTATTGTGTCAGTCGACCAAGATGACGTTGAGATGGCATCGTCGGTGCACTCTGACCCAGAGATCGCACCCAGGAAGGCCGGTCTCCCCAGGATTTCAGCCACGACTTCCGAGCCGAAACTCAGGGTTTCTGCCCTGATTGCTGGATTTGGTGGTCCAAGGGATGTCAGCGCCGATGAGCGGAGTCAACACCAGAGCTCTAAGAGCGAGGTACGCTCTCGACGCTCGACAAATCCAGAAAATCATCTGCGTCGAGCCGCTCGAGTGGATCCAGGAATCTTGGGTCAGTTTCGTCCGCGTCCGCGAGGTCTGGGCCCGCTCAAATCGAGCTGAACGTCTTGCGACAACAGCAGGAGTGGCAGGCCCGCATGGAACAGGAGCAACGCGAGTTTCTCGCCAGAGAACGCCTGGATGCCTTGGAGCGCGAGCGCCTCAAGGAACAACGCGACCTGGACGCGCGTCGCCAGATCCAGGAACTTACGGATCACTTGGTCCACGCCGAGATCGCCCGAGGAGAAGCGGAACGGCGTGCAAAGGACGTGGAGTCTCGCCAGACCCAGAGTTCCACTGAAACTCAGGGGATGACCCAGAGTATCACGGAAGCTGTACGTCTTGAGCGTGAGCGCCTGGATGCCGCCTACGCCGAGCGCTGGCAACAGCACGAAGCCGAAGCCGACTCGGAGCGCGCGCGCTGGGTTTCCGAGACCTACGCCGGCTGGAAAGAACAAATGTCAACTATGGAGCAGAAGGTCCAAGAACTTGAGGCGGAGAGAGAGCGAGAGCGGGTGTCTTCCGAGAATATCCAGCGCTTCCATGCTGGCCAAGTGCGCGACCTTCGTGCAACATTGGCCCAAGTTCAAGCACGTCGCGCAACCGTCGCCCCTGATTTGGCAACAAATGTGAGATCGTCAGTGGCTCAGAACCCTGAAGTTGCAACCCGACCCCAATAATCCAGTGGCGTAATCAACGGAAACGCAAGTGTCGCAGGCCAGAGACGGGAGACAGCTGATCCGAAGAACACTTCCGAAGTCGCCGCCTCCCAGCTAAGAGCGACCCTCGCGCAGACTTCCGCCGACACTTCCGGCAGAATCGCGCGCGTCAAGCGGGGACATGGCACTACGGAGACCAAGGTGACGCAGGATGTCAAGCTCGAGCCTGTGTCTCTGGGGAAGATGTCGGATCCCAGGAGAACAGCGACCTTTAAGGCCTCGCAGGACTCTAAAACAGACTCCAAGCGCTCTGCACCCAAGAAACACCAGCAGAAGAAGAAGAAGCGTCAGGATGTCAATCCACCTTCGGACTCAGACCCAAGCTCCGATTCCAGCGACGATGACTCGTCCTCTGAGAGTTCGGATGACAGTTCGGACGGGAACCCTGGGGTTAACCTGACGACGGCCTCTACGGCTCAAGCTGGCACTACGCTCCTGACGTTCAGACCGTACATCAACTCGAATACTCTGGGTGCGTATACTCTGGGTGAGTTCGATACTAAGGCGTCACTCAGGGAACGCGTGCATTGGTGGGAGCGTTTTGCGAACATGGCGGCTCAGGGAGGTTGGTCTACGAAGATGCGAATTCAGGAACTCAAGTTGAAACTCTCGGGAGCTGCGCGTGACTGGTTCAACCAGTTGCCCAAACACACTCAGCGTGACTGGAAGGAGTTGACGTCTTTATTCAGGAAGAAGTACTGCAAAGCGCGCTCGTCGTACTCTGAACGCTATTCACGATGGAGATGAAGAACTCAGAGAGCGCCCTGGATTTCTTCTATCGTCTGAATTCCGGAAGGCTGACATTGACTTTCGCAAGTCTTCGAAGCGTCTGGAGAAGCATATCCGGAGGTTCATCACGAAACTCAGGGACACGCGCCTCAAGACGTCGTTGCAGGGCCAGAGATTCAGGAGTATCGCTGATCTAGAGTACGCTCTGGAACAGGACGAAGAGGTCTGAACTCGCAGCGACCATGATGCTCCGCCACCCAGAGTTTGTGACTTTCGTGCCGACAACATTCCTCAGGGGCGTTTCAAGTCGAAGCGACAAGGACGTGCGTACGTGACTAGGGGCGATGTCTATGACTCTGAGTCGGACGAAGACCCTGAAATTCACGCGCGTTTCCAGGAAATCACGGACGAACCCAGAGTTTCAGTCCGAAGTGCGAGCGCGAATTCAGGGTCAACTCGTGAGATCTCTGGAGAGGAAGCTTCTACGCCTAGCGCTGGGAGCCTGGCGAGTATGAAGGGTTCCGAGTGGACTCAGACGCTGACGAACGAGGTCTATCGCGTGATGGATAAAATGGGATGGCGTCCACCGAACGCCCAACCAGGACCGAACGCGAACTCTGGATTCCGTTCCCCTCGCCGCGAAAACCCGAATTGGGACAAGTTCTGCGATAAGTGCGGCAAGTGGGGGCACCCAGAGGAAAACGGCTGGAAAGAAGTGAAGTGTGATCGCTGTCTGGAAGTGGGTCATCCGACTCACTTGTGTCGCGCGCAACCATGCGAGAACTGTGGCAAACTGCATCTCGGGAAACCGTGTGAAGACTGGAAGACACTGGAAGCTGTGAAGAAACTCGCCCGCCAAGGTGCACTGAAGGACATGCCGAGCCAAATCCTGGATAAACTCCTGGATGGCGAAGCGAACTCTGGGAGGCTGTCAAACCAATAAGCCCGCTGGGTGGGGACCCAGTACGCGCCGGGCTGAAGAAGGCCCCAGAGTTATGTGTTCTAGTGTATGTAGGCCCGGAGCTGAGAACAAGAACCCAAGATAACCAACAATGCATGACTACTTTGACTCAGGATTGCATGACTTCCCCTGAAAATCAGCATCCTGAACAAGCAAACTCTGGGTCGGTGAACTCTGAAGAAATTGTGGAGTACAAGCTGAACCCTGGAGAGCGCTACGGATGGTGGGAAAACAATGATCCTGACCCAAAGAAATGTGACGTGGCGATGGTGCATGGTGCTGTGAACGACTGCCGGACGGGAGTTCTCCTGGATACCGGTGCGACTGTGAATATTGTGAGCTTCGACTTAGCGCGTAAGCTCAGACTCACACTCAAGTCGCACAAGCAAACCAAAGTGGCTGGCATGGGAGGCGTTCCGACATAAATCGGTGCCAGTGCTCAGGTGAAGATTACTCTCGGTTCGAGGGTGATATATCTCCTGGTTGTCCGGATTGCTAACATCGGCGAAGGGATCGAAGTACTTCTGGGTATGAGTTTCATGTTTGCAGCTGGAGTGAGGATCAGTGTTCGCGAAGGTCTCGTGACACTTCCGGATGAAGAGGCGATCATGATGCGTCGTTGGACTCCATAAGATCGCCTGGGTGTCGACATGCCCGTGGAAACCACAGGTAGTTGGTACCTGGCCCCTGGGGAATCCAAGGTGGTGAAGATTTCGTATGGACCGAAGAACCCACAGCGTGAAGTTGTGTGGGCAGGACGAGGTGACCGCTGGGTAACGCACCTGATTTACGCTGCGAGATCCTGGCCGGTCGCTGTGAAGGTGGTCAACATATCGGACAAGGACGTCTGGATTCACAACAGAACGCGAGTCGCCCGAATTGTGGAGTACGGCTTCTTCCCACGTGCCGGACGCTTTGTGCGCCCTGGTTCGTTTGCGTATCGGGAGTGGCAGACGCTTATTCTGGAGAGTGTTCAGTCGCGTGAGGGCAGACTTCGTGCGGAACGCCTGGCTGCGCTTGAGCCATCCTGTGTCGAGACCCCAGAGTATCAGTGGCCTACGAAGATTCTGCCGCGACCTGCAAAGGGCCCCGACATGGCACTGCTTGCCTCGATTCTCAGGAAACCGAAGACTCGTCGCGTGCGCTTCGCTGAAGACGCTGCAACTCAGGCTGAAGAGGTGCCCCCTGAAGGCCCTCCTGAATTCCGAGACGTTGCCGTTGATACGAGTGACTTGGGTGGCGTTCTGAAGGATGCGGGGACCGATGTTGCCTCGCAGACTGTCGGAACCCCAAAGTACACGAGTCCTGAAGATGATACGGCCGCTGAAACCCAGAGTTTACAGGTTGAAGTTGGCAGTGATTCTCAGGGTCAGCGGGGCGACGAAGGTGATTCTCTGGGATTCGATGTGGATGGCGACGATTCTCAGGGTGGTGTTGAAGATTACTGGGATATCCCGATCTCAGGGATGCCGGGAACTCCGTTGGAGAAGCTGAAGCAGGAATATGAGCGGTGCATGCGGCTCTCGACAGAGGACCTCGACTACGAGCCTGCGGTCTACATACGTGAAGGAAGTGAGTTGCTCTCTCAACTGCGTGACCAGTTGGTTATGCTTCCTGAGATGCGTGACTTGACCCCTGAGTGCAAGATCGAGGAGGCAGATGTTGGAGTCCCTGGGAAAACGACGCCCGAGATGGAAGACCAAGTGAGGCGAATTCTGGAATATCATCGGAGGATCTTCTTGGGAGACGGCAATGCAGCTCCCCGACCTGCCCGTGAAGTGGTTTGTGACCTGGATGTAGGCGACGCTAAACCTGTTGCCCAGCGTCCAAGGTCCATTGCACCAAACCTGTGGACCAAGGTGTATGAACTTCTGAAGAAGCTTCTGGAGAACGGGCTGATCGAGACTTCTATGTCCCCCTGGGCATCTCCGATCGTGATCGTCCTCAAGAAGAATGGCGTTGACATCCGGATGTGCATCGACTACCGCGTGGTCAATGGCTTCATCAAGCTCTCGCACTACCCGCTATCGCTTATTGATGATCTTTTGATTGGCTTTGAGTCAGCGATGTGGTTTATGAGCTTGGACATGGCAAGCGGTTTCTGGGCTATCAAGATGACCAAGAGAGCCAAGTTGATCTCTGCGTTCGTCTGTCCCTATGGTCATTACCAGTGGGTCAGGATGCCGTTTGGCCTCAAGAACCCCCCGCTGATCTACCAGGCAGTTCTCAATAACTGTCTGTGGGGATTTCTGCGGCTTTCCCCTGAGGAAGAAGCTGAGGTTGACCAGGATGTCTTCAAGTTTTTGGGGTTGAACTCTGGGGAACCCAGAGTTTCAGGTGAAAATTCCCTCTGACGTTCAGTGCTAACGGATGAGATGACTGTTTTCCAGCGTAACATCCCGGCTCCCTCTCAGATGGGCCCTGTCCTCGGTCGAATCTCGTATATCGACGATATCGCCCACGGTGCGCCTACTTGGGAGCAGCTGTGTCAGGATCTGAACGCGCTGCTCTTCCGACTACGTTACTGGAATATCTCTGTGAGTCTTCCCAAGAGCGAATTCGGGAAGTTGTATATTCCGTATCTCTCTCACGAGATTAGTGCTGAGGGTATCCGAGCGACCCCTAAAATCGCGAAGGGGGTTCAAGACTTGCCGTTCCCGACGACACTGAAAGGTGTCCAGAGTTTCATGGGGAGTCTAAATTACTACAACAAGTTCATTGAAGACCTACCCGTGATCGCGTCCGTCCTGTACGATCTGACTGAGGAACAAGTGAAATTCAGGAGAGACCTGTCGAGAGCCCAGGAAGCCTTTGAAATCCTGAAGCGCAAGATTGTTTCGACTCCGTTGCTCAGACATACTGATCGCTTAAGGCCCTTCGTGATTATTCCCCACGCAAACCCGTGGGCGCTGTGTTGGGCCAGGAGTACGACGGGATTGTGCACCCGGTTCGATTCACAGGTCGCGTCTTGAATGACGCTGAGCTGCGGTATCACATTGCGGAGAAGGAGGTGATTGCTATCCTGAGAGTCCCGGAGGTGTTTCGCACTCTGGTTGAAGGCAGCCCTAAGATCGTTGTCTACACGCGATACTCTGTGTTGAAGTGGTTGCTGACTTCGCAGTTGGCAGACGGTCGAACGGTGAAGTGGGGTCTGAAGTTGTCCCACTGGAACCTGGAGATACGCAGAGTTCAACGAGACGAAGACGGCTTGGCTGCAATTCTGGGTGCGGGTATTACCCCCAGAGAACCCTTGGATGAGATCGCTGAAAACCTGATCCCAGCCAAGGGGCGCGTCAAACCTCCAGTGCCTATCAGCATGGAAATGCTGGAAGCGGATTATGAGGGGTGTCATTTGAGTTTCGATGGTGCCACTAAGACACCCACGCGACAAGGGAGCTGTGGTTGCATTCTGTGGCACGTCCCCGGTTGGGAAATCCTGGATGCCCAGGGATTCATCCTGGAGGACGTGACTATGAACGACGCTGAGTATCATGGACTTCTGAAGGGCCTCACTCTGGCGATTGAGCGTGGGATTCAGGATATCGTTGTAGTTGGGGACTCCAGGATCGCCATCCAGCAAGCCCAGGGTCTCATCAACTGCAATCAGCCAAATCTCCAGAGGAAGCTGGCCGAGTATGAAGTGCTGAAGACGAAGTTCAAGTCTGTGCGGCTGGTGCATGTCAAGCGACAGTTTAACCAGGCCGCAGACTACCTGACGTCTAAGACCCTCTAGCTTGGTGAATCCTGGAAGGTAGAGGATGCTGATGAACGAACTCATCTGCAGTTGGTGTCCAAGATTCACGAGAAGTTGGTAACACCGAAGGTGTTATTGAACGTTGGAATTCAGGGGAGTGATTCTCAGGGTGTCGAAACCCTGGGTATCCCTGGACCTGAGTGCACTCCGTTGCCTGTGGCGGCCAAAGTGTTTGCAGTAATGACTCGGGCGCAAACTCAGGAGATCGAACCCCAAAGCGAACCCATGGCCTCTTGAGTACCAGGCGGAACGCTGGCGACGCATCAAAGTGCACCAGGACAAAGATGATCACTTGCTGCATCTCAAGGATTTCCTGAAGGGCGACACGACGAAGCTGCCGCACGCCCAAGCCAGGAAACTCGCAAAGGTCGCTGATGATTTCGTGTTGGATTCCAGAGAAGTCCTGTATCGCTTGAGTCGGTCTACCAGAGATCGACCCAGAGACATGGTTGACGAACTCAGACTCGTGGTGCCAAAAGCTCTGCGACCGGATATCCTGCATTACGCTCACGAAGATTTCCAGGGTGGGCACCAGGGGGTCACGAGGACGTATGAGAAACTGCGCTCTGAGTTCTACTGGCACGGCATGTACGCTGATGTGGAAGTTTTCGTCAAAGAGTGTGTGGATTGCGCCAGCGGCAAGGGGCGCCCTCAGAATCCAGGGCCTTCCCCTGGGAACATCGAACCAAGGCGCCCTTTTGAAGTTGTGTCTATAGATTTCGTGACACACTTGCCTAAGTCGGACCGTGGGAACACGTTCCTGCTGCTTTTTCAGGATGCGTTCTCAGAATTCGTCATGTGTAAACCCATGAGTTCCACCACGGCGCAAGATGTCGCTGAAGTGTACGAAGAGCAGGTCTTCAGGAGATTCGGCGCGAGCTCGATGCTGAGGCACGACCAAGACCCAAGGTTCATGAGTGAGGTGTTCACGCGCTTCCGTGAACTTCTGGGTAGCAAGCAGCGGGCCACTTTGGCGTATCGCCCCCAGTCGAACGGGCAACAAGAGCGGTCGGTGCAGACCGTCGTGCGCAGCATTCGAGCGTACATTGCGGAAGCGGACCAGAGTGACTGGGACGACCATGCTGAGCGCTTGATGTTTGCCCTGAATACATCGTTCGATGCTACTCGCCTGGACACTCTGTTTTTCTTGGTACACGGCTGGGACGCACACGGCACTGTGTCTGCAATGTTGGGACCCAGGCCCTCAAGCACCCAGGAGCGTACCGCGTACGAGTGGCGCAGGAAGCTACAGCGTGACTACAGTTATGCACAAGCTTGCGCTGAGGATCTCCAGAAGAAGGCCAAGCGGGCGCGCTCTGCCGAACAAACCAGGAAGTGGAGAGAGCTGTCAGAACGTTTGAAGTCAGGGTTCGCGGCTGGTGATGCCGTGTGGCTGTACATACCCAAGGTGCAGCCCGGGCTGAGCCGCAAACTGGCTCACATGTGGCACGGTCCCTTCAGAATTCAAGAGATCCATGACAACTTCCGCGTGAAACTCAGGGTTGAGAACACAGGATATCGCGTGAATCCCTGGGTACATGTGAGCCGTTTGAAACCTAGAGCACTATTCCCGAAGCGGCCCATTGTGGAGGTCGACGTGGGCGAGGATGATGACTTTGATGCGGCGCTGTTGCCCGAAGACAGCTGGGAGCCCGACGCTGCGAACAATGAGTACGAAGTCGAGCGAATCCTGGATTTGAGATGAACTAAACGGACTCGGACATCGAGAGGAATTCGCGAGTACCTTGTGAAGTGGAAGGGGTATGATGAGACCGAGTGGCTGCCTGTGTCGAAGCTCAACTGTGGTGCCCTGCTCTACGAATTCAATCAAGGCGCAAGAGCGCGAGCCCGTTTCCAGGCCATGCAGGCTGGAGATGATCACCCAGGAGTCTAGCACTCTGGGGTGACACTGACCCAGAGTTACATGTGATATTCAGTCGATTTTCCCAGAGTATCACAGTGTCATTCTGGGAAACCCAGAATGACACTGTGATACTCTGGGAAAATCGACGGAATGTGTGAATATTGGAGACGGAGAACGCGAACGTGATTTGATTTGATTTGATTATGGAGAAGGCGATATTGCTGAGGCTTCGGCATTGTGTGAAGTGGTGAGAAGGAAGATGAAAGCGGCGAGCTTTACGAGCACATGGAGACAGTGGACGAAGTTGGGTGACCCTGGGAACAAGTCAGCAGACGATGAATTTCTGGGGAAGACGCTGAGATCTAGATGAAATCCTGGGTATTATGGAGAGTTACGCTACGACATGTGAAATTCAGGTGGCTCTCAGGATTTGGGGGTGACCTTGACTCTCACGAGTGCTTGAGAGACAGCGGGTTGAGCTTGCGGATGACCAGGGGCTTAATGTGGCGCTTGATGTCGTTCGGCACGTATTGGAGCCACTCTGACACGATGTGGAAACAGATTTTTGTCTGCACCCATGTCCGACCCCATGGATACGTGGACCCTTCGGTGAGCTGTGATTGGTCGCATGAGATGGGATCCGGTAGAGACGAGTGTGACGTGTGGATTGTGGATATGTGTGGAGATTTGGTGGGACCCGGGACTTGCAGCAAGCATGGGCTCACAGGATTGGAGATGCGCTCACCGGATGAGCGCTCATATTCGGTGTGGAGTCACGCATCCTGTCCGTCCGCCGACTTCCCTAACTGCAGGATAGGCTCAAGGCGCGAACGTGTGGCCAGCGAACGTATCCTGGCCACTGCCCCCCCCCCCCCCCCCGTGCCCACACTGGATGTAGACGCACCAAGAACAAGTCCAGTGCACGCCGCGTGTGTTCGCACAGCGGCGTCGATCCAGACCGGACGAGACCAAGATCCCCCAAGATCCACGGGCGGCACCGAATGAGCCGCAGATCCAAGGGAGAGGTCCAGTTCCAAGACGAAGAGACGATGTACCCAGATACCTCCGTCATCATCTGATGAGTGTACCCGAACAAGTGTCGCCGTCAACAAGTCTCCGCATACCGAAACCAAGAAAAGCATACTGAAGATCTGCCAAGAAGCACAAGCATACTCAAGACAAGCGAATTATAGTGAAACCTACATTAAAGTCAGCGAAGTGATAGAATATAGCTAGCCAAACGTAAGATCTAAACTGAAACCAATTTGCTGAAGAACACGCGGACGACTCTGTGCTCGGGGCAGATTAGCACCCCGACTTTGACGTCTTCAAGAGCCCTCCGGGAGACTGCCTGCGCGCGGTCTAAGTACGTTTAGGGACGCTTCCAAGGCCTCACTGGTGTAGCGAGCACCGGTGTAGTGGGGACTCAAAGGTACCAAGGCAAAGTCGGCAGTGACTGGGGTTTCGCGCCCTGGAGTGACCTGTGAGAGCTTTATTTTCTATTTGCGTGCTCTAACCGGGCATCCATTTCATATTTCCTACTGTGTGTCTTTGGTGGTTGAGGTAGTTACCCCCAGACCGAATTGATTGACTACTGTGTGATAGGACTGAATTATATTTTGTATTGTTCCCTCATTCTGTGAGGGTGGTGCGCGTAAGTGAGTGTGCATCCAGGGCTGACCAGTGCCTTGGGTGACGGCTCCGAAGTCGACTGGTGTATCGACCCCCCACCCAAGGGTCTCAAAGAATAAGTGGCGGCTGTATATTTTGTGACGTTTAGCTCGGCATTGTATTTCTGTGTGTTGGTTATTCTGAATTACGGATCTGACTGTGGTCCCTTTCATTCGGTCTGACCTTCTGTTCATTCGGTGTGGTTTATCCCAGGAACATACCCTGCAGACTTTATTCTGTATCGCAACAACTCATCTCGGTGAAATCCGGTCCGCCAAAGGTAAACGATACCTATAGGGGTTGACACACGGACACACGCCAAACACCGGACCGCATTAGTGCGATTCGGTGCGTCCAAGCGGTTCCAGGCCCGGGTCATTCAGTGTCCCGTGGGCTGTTTATCGCGTGGGTAATCTCAGGTACTCCGAATCCGAATTCATTCGGTCCGGCATAGTGCGCTATACACCCTGGATGATCAAGGCGTTCACCCGCCTCGTCTCAACTCATCGTCGTCAGCCGCCGTGTTCCATTGGACTCGAGCGGACTCACGAATGTCCAACGTCGCTAGCTGGACGTCTAAGTCCTTGCACTTAGCCCCCCCCCCTGGGATCCTCCCAAATCCAGTAGCAGCACTTGTCCGGGAACTTCCAGAGGCCCGGTTCGTGCCACAACGACGGGATGAACCCAGGGGTGTTGCGCGAGCGCTCAACGAGCGTCTTGTACGCTCTGCGTAGCGCGTTTCGACGCGACTTCCGCTGATATTCCATGGTGGCGTCTGCTTGTTCTTCAGTCGGAATAGGCACCCAGTGCCCGCGCTCCCAGATTGCCTGTGCGTTCTTGTGCATGACGTCCACGACGTCCTCCATCAGCTTGAGCGCTTTCGCGGAGAGTAGCTCTCATGGAAGTAGAACACTCGGAAGCGACCCTGAAGCATAGTCTCCCAGGGTTCAGAATCCAGGACTTCTTGGTATGCCTCACGGTCCCAGCGCTCGTGAACAACGTCGTACGAATACTTGTGGATCTCGTACTCTAGGAACCCGGGAGTCTGGCAAGACGCACTCTTGGTCGAACTTGGATATTGCACAAGAACCCCATAGACGCGCCAGGAAGTCTCGTTGTCCACAGGATCTTCGGCCGTCACCAACGAGCTCCGATTATGATTTCCGCGCGAGCGCCGACGGATGCTAGAACCCTGAGTGGTAGGAGTGTGTGTCTTGTTTCCCGTGCGACGTTTCTTCTTCGACTTCGAGTTGGAACCCTGAGTTTCTTGCTTGACTCAGAACGGGGGCGCTTAGCAGGAGGCTTGACTTCCAGGGGTTCTTCTACCCCATTGTCGTCCTCTGCGTCGTCGTCGTCCTCTGCGTCCTCGATCTCCTCCAGAGTTTCAAGGGTGACCTCCTCCTCTTCAGAGCTACTACTAGAGGCGCTCTCCTCAGGTTCCTGGGCGGGAGGCTAGTAGTCCGGGTCGTTCTCGATGTCGTCCACCGTGGAATCGGCGTCCTCATCAGGGTATCATCGAGGTTCCCCCAGGGTGGTGGCACATCACCGCGTCGAAGGCGCCTGTCCAGACGCTCGTCTGCCATTTCGTAGTAGGCTTCAGGGACGAACTTGCTCCAGGGAGTCAGGTCAAGACGACGACGAGTGTACATCATGATCACGAGCATCTTGATCAGCTGCGGCTGCCTGAAGTGCCCGTGAGCCGCCCGGTCGCTGCCGATCCACTCCATGGCTGTATCGTACTTGAGCCCAGCAAGAATGGCCTGACGCACGTCTGGTCGAACTTCCTTCCAGACGACACCCCCCAGGGAGCATCGTGTGTGCGGCCTCCTTGGACACCACAGTCTTCTCGCCGGCGCGACGCACGGAGTCGCGGCCAGGCTGATGATCCTTGGGACGACGCTGGACCTTGTGAACCTGGGGGCTTGCGGACTTCGACTGCGTGTCTGGCGCCTCAGAGTCCCGTGATTTTCTGGAGCCTTGGCCCTTCTTGGAACCCTGAGATTTCCTGGAATCCTGCGTTTTGCCTCCGGCCTTCGCGTCGCTGCCAGACTTGCTGCCAGGACCCGTGAGATCCAGAATTTCAGGACGACTGGACGACCCAGACCCTGAAGACGGAGGCATACGAGTGCTCTTCTCTGGATACGGGGCCACCGCAGCCTTGCGCTTGTCCATGGCTGTGACGTTAATGACAGTGTCCCAGGATTCAGGAGGCTTCGCGTCCTTGATGCAGAGATTGAAGAGGTCGTGGAGACGCTCCCAATTGCCCGTGAAGTCTGTGTGGTTTTGGAGGAAGTCAGAGAACTTCCAGGGGTCCACGGTGGCTCAAGACGCGATTTCAGGATTCGCACTTGTGCCTCAGAGTCGGCAAGGCGCGCCTTGAGTTGCACCTTCTCGGACTCCAGAGAATCAATCTCGTCTTGGTACCGCGTCTTCCGTTCGCCCAGCGCGACTTTGTACTTGGACTCAGCATCATCCACCTTGCCCAGGGCCTCTTGGACCTCCAGGAACCAGTAGTCGCACGTGAATTTCCAGGCGCGCTTCAGTTCCTTGTACTTGCGTCGCGTGTCGACTACTGCCTGAGTAGCGGTGAAACCCTGCTGAGAGTCAGCCAGGGAACTCATGTTTTGGTAGGCCCCGAGGACTCGACGCAGGTGACCAGTCATCTTGAACACGCGCTCAGCGAGCCTTGTGCTGTTGATGTGACGCAGGAGTGAGGCCATTTCGCGTCGAATACCGATGGAATTCAGGGTGTTGTCCAACTCGAATGCGGAAAGAGGCGAACGACGTGGACACAGGACGTCGATCCCAGCTTTGGCGCCACAGACTTCATTCAACCCCTGAAGATCCTCGTCGGAGAGCTCCAAGAAGCCGATCAGCGTAGACGCGCCGCCGAAGTCTTCCATGGCGAATGCACCCGCGCGAATGTCGTTCACGGTCCCTGGGACTCCCACGAGATACGCGTTGGTCTTGAGATCCGGTGGGGTTGGCAGTTTCCAATGCGGTGGGCGCTCAGGGAGTACGAAGTCGGGGATATCGACCTCCTCCTGCCGAAGGATGCCTGCGAAGATGAGCCCCCTGACGTCCTCTAGCGTCGCGTGACGTGGCGTCTTAAATTCAGGGGCGCCCTCCATGTTCACGTTCGAGGCCGCGCTGCCTGCGTCTGGCGCCTTAGTGTGGTATAGCAGTACACACAAAATCGTCAGTTGTGGTAACTTGGCTACAAACACAACAATAGCCGAGCTGGTCGGCTTTGTTGGCCTGCGCCGGGTTGCCACCGAGCGGTTCGGCCCAACCGGGACAGCGGGTGTCTCGCCTCTCGCCGAGACCTGCCAACCAAGATCACTCCTCCGGAGAACCGCCAAGTTCGACGGCCTCCGTTCATTCAACCCTGTGCTCTCCACCAAAGGATGGACGACGGCGCACGGAGCGCTTTTACAGGTCGCCGAGAGCAAAGGCTTCTCGACTCAGCCATCAGTGCCCGGGACGTATGGGAACACCAGCTCGCAGCGGTGGCGAGTCTTTCCTTCGCGCTTGGCGAGACCCGCGCCAAACCCGGGCCGACCTTAATCTCTTGGCGCTGCCAGCCGAGTACCCTACAAGCTATGCCTCTCGGGTACCGGCAGCAGAAATAATCCGGCCCCGTGCAGGGACTTACCGGAACGTGTACACGTGCTTTAGGCCAAGAAAAATCTGCTCTGTTGTTTGTTATCTCTGTCGGGCGCCCTGAAGGGGCACCTCCACTATTCCTAAGCTCCTATACAAATACCAAATGAAAGTGGGCGGTTTTGGATCTCGGCCGACTCTTCGCTGAGCTCGGCGACGCCTGAGCTCGGCTGGTCCGGATGAGCTATCCGGACAATTCTTCGAACTCGGCTGAGCCGGACAAGGTGTCCGGATAAGCTGGTGAACTCGGCTGAGCTCGGCTACCGGTACAGTGTACCACTCCAGCCTAGTTGGTCGCGCGAAATCTGGTTTTCCTACACCACAACTGCCCCGGTCATGTTCCGAGCCGAGTTGGTGAGGGACCTGACCATCACTCCTTGAGTCGAGTCCAATCTCGGCCAAAACTCCAACGGCAGCGAACAAGTCTCCGCGCCATGTCGTCGTCCGGCGCTCCTACCGCTCCTCCGGTACGTTCCTCGCCTCCGACGGCTCCATCCATTCTGCTGCTGACCCTTCTTCTACTGATCTTCACAGACTTCAGTTGCGTCGTCTTTGCAGTCTTCACATCTTCCCGCGCGAGATGAGGGGAAGTTCGCTGAGTTGGTCGACTCGGCGTCCCGGGCTCGCGGGGTTAGCGATGGGCAGGAGCACCCTGTCATCGATCTGACAACTTCCCGTGGGTTCGACCGGGAGTCCGAGCCGGCATCTCGCACTTCTCCTCGCCGCTTGCCGAGTCCGCGTGGCGACACCACTTCGGACGCCGCCGACCTTGGTCGGTCGGACTCGGCTGGGCCGATGAGTCTCGACTCTCTCGCTGCGCTGATCCATGCACAGTCCGAGCAACGCCGCATCGAGAACGCGGACTTGGCTCGGCTGTTGTCGTTCGTGATCACTCGTCCCGCGCCGGCGGCTGATAGAGAGGTCCGCCGAGCTGCCCTCGAGGCGACGTCCGTCAGCGAACTCGTGAGCCTCCTTCGCGGTCAGCACCAACCTTCAAGTCAAGCTAGTGACGTCGCTGCACTGAGGGTTGAGCTGGAGTCTGCTCGGACTATTAACGCTGACTTGACTCGGCGGCTGGATTCACAGGCGGCTGTGAAGGCCGACCTCGAGGAACGATTGAAGACTGTCGAGGAGGAGCGTGGCCGATGGAAAGCCGAGTCGAAGAAGTCGTCCCCTCTCCTGACCAGCTTCCGGAAGGCGATGGCTGAGTCTCAAACTTCCTTGAAGTCGGCCCGCAAGTCTCAGGATGATAAAGTGAAGTCGGCTCTCGCTCACGCTAAGGATCTCGGCAGGCAGCTCAGGAAACGCGACTCGGAGATTGAGCGTTTGACTCAGCTTCTTTCGGCTCGTGACGCCGAGTACGCTGTGCTCCAGGGGATCTCGACCAAGCGCTTCGAGCAACTGCAGGAGTCGGCTCGGCTACTCATTTCTGGAGACGCCCTTGGCTCAACGTTTCCCGGAGGTGATGGACATCCCGGCTGGAGAGACTCGTCGAGTCGAGTTGACCATCCACCCGCGAGCGGACGGCGCTGCTGCTACTCTGTCAGCGCCCGTGAGCTTGGCTGGTTCTTTCCTTGGACAATCAACCCGGCTGACTGGGTCTGAGGCTCCGGCCCCTCCAAGCGAGTCTCCCGCATCATCTGCCGCCAATACTGTGTCGGCTGGTGCGGTTTCTACGCCCGTGTCCACTTCTGCTTCGCGCCGTCGTCGCAGCAAGTCGGTCGACCAGGTTCACCGAGCTCGGCTGGATACTCTGACACCCGCCGAAAAATTACTTCGCTACTCAAACCCGAAGTCAGCGACGGCGGCTGGTTCTCAGCGCAAGCCCAAGAAGCCACTCGAGCAGCCGTACGCGTGTCCACTTCCTGGTGAGGTCGGCCATGAGGACGCGTTGGTCCAGCTTGAAAAGGCTGCCCAAGAGACTGACGCCGCATGCGACCTATCGCTCCGGTCGAGCTTGAGTTTAGCCGGGTAGACTGTCGACGATGTGAATGTGGAGGCCGGCGACGACGTTCACTCGCTGGAAGAGGGCCTCTCGTTCGAGTTCACCGAAGTGCCTGGTTCCGCCGAGCTTCCGAGGGGGCCCGCCGGCCCGACCGTGAGTGTGCCGCCCGTGCAACTCGTGCCTTACTCTTCCTCCCCGGTGCAGACGCTTTCAAGCGGAGTGGCTGTTGTATCGTTGCCTGGGTCTGCTGACCTTGCTGCAACCCCGTCCGCTTTTTCGCTTCCTGCCTCCCGACTCGTGTCCGGTGGGTTCCTCCCTCGACCAGCATGCCGAGCGCGGCTGTGGTGACATCGACTGTCGGCGCCGGAGGACAACCGGGTTCCTCCGCTCCCGATCCGGCGCTTGCTACAACGCATGCTGTGATTGCGCCGAGCTCGACGGCTGGAGTCTCGGCTGCGGGTACAATTAACAGCTCCGCTGCAATTCCGCCTCGGGTTTCGCAGTCTTCTCCGGGTTCGGCCACTCACCGGTTCTTGGCATGTACTCGTTCCCGGTTTGCCAATCAAGCCCAGAGTCGTCGTGGCCCGTCAGGGGTGGCGTCGACTGTAGTCACCCCAATGCCGAGCACTCCGTCGGTGGCCTCGACCCGGCCAGCGGTTCCTCCTAGCTCAGCTGGGATGACTTCCCCATCGGGTCGCCCTTTACGCTCCACTGCGGCTACTACTGCCCGAGTGTTGAACGCTCACTGCTTCGATCTGTTAGAGACTCCTGACTATCTCGTCCTCCGGTCCGCTCGGCGTAGCTCTTCCTCTGGTTCGTCGGGCTCGGCTCTTGGATTGAATGCTCCTGGAACCTCAGCACATCCGTTGTCTGTGTCCGAGAGCTCTGAATCTGAGGCTGACGACCCTGGATCTGCTGACGACCCTGGGTCTGCTGACGAGCTCAGTTCGGCCGACCCTGACGCATCTCGCCGGGCTTCGTTAGCTTCTGCGCTCCCACCTCCGCACGGGAAGATCCAGAGCTACATGGCTGCTCGTCAATCGCCTCTCGTTCCGTCCAGCGAGTCAGGTGACTCAGACTCACAGCCGAGTTCCAAGAAGCAGAGCGGTAAGGGCAAGCACAAGCACAAGCACAAGCACAAACACAAGTCGAAGTCGGCAGGGTCAAAGAAGTCGAAGAGGTCTGCGTCTCCGGACTCGGCTAAGGACCCCCGCCCGTCCAAGCGTCAGCGAGGTTCGACTGGAGACTCGGCCGTCGGTCCGGCTGAGGTTTCGGCCGCTTCCAGCTCGACTAACAACTCGGCTGGGAGCTCTGGCATCCCATCGAGCTCGGCTGTTTCGCCGTCGCCTATTTCTGCTGGTCCAGCTTCAACCGTGTCGGTGCCTATCGTGACCGCTCATGACGCTGGCGCCCACGTTCTCCCTCAGTTGCCTGCAGATTTACGCTATTCGCTCGCTCAGCTGCGCACTCGAGCTCGCCAGGCGGTCGGCCGAGATGCCCGGATCACTCCCCAGCTAGCTCAGCTGCGTGACATCCGCTTCGTTCATTACGGGTCTCGGCGGTGCTGGGAGGCTATCCTCAGCCATCAAACGGCCAAGGTCACTGTGGATGACGCGTCGGGGAAGGGTAGTGTGCCGGTTACGCTCTGTTCCCTCGCTGGGATTAAAGCGTTCGCGGACGTCTACCATCCGGATCACCCGGCTCAGCGGCTCCTTCGTCTGCTTCCCAAGACTCCTATCTTCTTCTCCCCTCAAGTCCTCGACGATGCCAAGCGCCGGTTGACGATCTCGGTGAAGTCGGTGGCCTTGATGGAGCGTCTCGCAGAAGCGTTCGTGAAGATCCGCGGAGAGGCTCCGAACTCGGTTTGTGACAAAGAGGGTCCTACCAAGTTCTTCGTAGCACTGTTCGAGCGGTGTCACTGGATGGTCGAGTCGAGTGTGCTGATGGGGCTACATCCGGCTTTTCACACGGGGCTCCCGTATCACGTGACAGCCGAGATGTATGACACGTGGGTGTTGTACAAGTTGCCTCACAAGCGTCGAGGCGATGCCCTCCGAAGTCTCATGACTATCCTGCCCGACGACCTGTTCACTGCAGTGATGAAGCTTCTCGGCGGGCTTGCTGCCCTGGAAATCGACGCGGAGCTCTTCTTCGAGCCGTCGGTCCCGTTGTATCCGCTGGTCAATCTTGCTTGGATTCCTGCGGGCAGAGACTGGTGTGCTGAAGCCGAGTCTGTATAGACGGCTCCGAGTCTTGGCGAGCTTGGTGGTTGACCGACCCAGCGACGCACCCGTACAACACACGCGTAACTTGGAATTCATGGTTTTCGCTCCCGCTGGTGTGGATCCGCGCCTGGTCGAGGGTGCTGTCGATGAAGATGTGAACCTCAACGAGCCTGCACCTCCCCAGATTTCGTCAAGTGCCCCGACTCCGGTCAACCGTGCAGGAATCCACATCTTCCAAGGTTGTGAAGCTGGTGAGCTCGGCTGGGCCGCTGGCGATGCGGATTCGGCGTCTCCGTTGATCGGGCCGCCTAACGTGTGCGGCCCTTCTCCCACGGCTTCCCTCTTTGGTCCGGCGTCACCTGGATCTCCAGCTGAGTCGAGCGCAGGATCGACTGTCCCTCTGGCTAACAACTCGGCTATTCCGGCTTCAAGCTCAGCGGACTCGGCTGTGCAGGCTGCGGGAGCAGCGGATAGCTCGGCCGGCTCAGCTACGGACACTGGAGGTTCGATTGGTCTCCTCGCAGCGGCTGCTGCTACCGTCGTGTTCTCTGTCGCGCATTCACAGGGTCCTTCGTCTCCGTAACGTGCGGCTCAGCCGCCGAGCTCTTCTTCCTTTCCCATCGTTCTTCGGTGTAATTCATGTAATGTATGCAACTTGACGCAGTAGTTCCTTCGCCTCAACTCAGCCTGCTGTCTTCACTGAGTTGGCGGGTTCATCATTTTGGTGCAATAGCTTTAATCCTCGTCTGCAACTTGCACCATTTGCAGACGGTTTTCACGCTTCTTCTGCCGTAAGTAGTCGAACAATAATCCCCCACACGACAAATTCGACAGCGGCTCCCAGGCTGGCTCATCATAGCCGACCCACTTGACCTTGAACTTCCGCTGAGTTCTGGAGGTGCTCGTAGAGAGCGGCAACTCGTCGTCCAGGATGGCTTCGACTTCGTATTCATTCATTGCTCGTCGGGCTCCCAGCTATCTTCAGGAAGGAGTTCCTCGTCAAAGTCGAGACGATCCGACTCGGCTAAGTCGGCTACTAGCCTAGTTGTCGGCCGCTCGCCGAGTCCCGTGACCGCTTTCAGACGTGACACATGTATCACAGGGTAGAAACGGTATCCGCTCTTGTCCGGGAGTTCGAGCTCGTAGGCAAACTCCTCCACCTTCTTCTTCACTCGGGATGGCCCATGCCATCGATGTGCTAACTTCTTGGTCAAGCCAGGTCTGACTCGTTCCATGAACAACCAAACTTGGTCGCTTTCCTTGAATAGTGACTTCCTCGACTCGGCTAACTCGTCACCTTCCTCAGTCGACTCGGCTGCTCCCTCGGGTGAGTTCGCTGGGGTATCCGTCCCTTCCTCCCCGGCTGGGACAGCTCTCTGCGCGACTCGGCTGAGTCCGTCATTGTGTGCCTTCGCTCTCCGTTTCTTCTCCTTCAACTGGAACTCGGCCGCAAGCTTCAAAGCCACCTCTCTCTGTCGGTTTGCTTCCCTGCGCCATTCGGCTGCTCCCGTTGAGTCAGCTGAGTTGCCCCTGCCGAGCTTGACTGACTCGGTCATCGCCTTGCGTGTAGACCGAGCGTCCCATCCGTGTACCAGGTAGAACGGGTCTCCCGCCGAGTCGAGTCTCTCGAATTGTTGATGGCATGGACGAGCTTCTCGGCTACATCATCCCAGTCGGCTTGGAGAGGGTCTTCCACGTACACACGCACAGTCTGGATCATGGTCTTCGCTGAGCGTTCTTGCTGACCGTTGGCTTGTGGTAACTCAGCGTCGCTCTCGACTTGGACTGCATCATCTCCGAGAACTTCTGGAACACTTCACTCATGAACCGGGTATCTCTGTCGTGGCGTACCAGTGATGGAGCTCCAAACCTCCGGAACACGTTCTCTTCGAAGGCCTTCGCTACCTCAAGTGCCCCAGTCTCACTCATTGCCTTAGCAATCACGAACCCGGTGAAGTGGTCTTGAAACAACAGGAGTGCAGTGTTGCCCCGCCGAGTCTTCGGCAGTGGTATGACAAAGTCCGTCGATACCACGTGGAACGGTCGCTCAGACACTACGTTGCCAGGTGGATAGCCCTTCAGGTTTGGTTTGCTCTTACTGGCACTGCAGTCTTCGCGCGCTTGGACATGTTTGACCACGTCTGCGTACAACCCTAGTCGGCTCTGACCCTGTGGTATGTCCGCCTCCCTCGATGGAGTTGTGGCTGTTCTGCAGGACCTCGTCTATCATGGTCGTCGGAACCACCAGTTGAAGGGATAAGCCTAGTTCGCCGAGTTCGCCAGGTGGTCTGGCCTTGCCTTGTCGGTACAATAGCCCGTTTTCGCTGAGCACAAACTCGTCGGCAACTTTCCCAGCGTTGTGAGCTCGGCGATGTGTGAGCTGCGCATAATCCCCTCTCAGGTAGGTCTTCAAGTCGGCCCATCGTCGTTCCTCGTCTTGAGCTCTTGCTATTCGCAGGCGGCGCTCAGCTTGGACCACTACCGGGTCGATGTCCATGGCGTTGGGCTCCCGGGCTTCTCCGAGCTCAGCTACCAGCTCAGCTGGGTTAGCTGGTGGTGCTGCGCTACCGAACTCGGCTTCTCCCGTCACCCGCTGTCTAGCAGGCGGAGTTCGGCTATCTCGTTCAAAGTCATTACGTTCGGCTTCCTCATCCGTAGCTGGGTCCGGGACCGGGTGTTCTGCCGCTTCGTCTTCGAAACGGACTCGGCGGACTTGACTCCTTGTCACGGCAGCCATCTCAACACCCTCGGCCGGAGCTGCAGCCGAGTCCGTGTCTACGTACAGGACCTCAGAGATCCTGTTTAGGGTCTTCAACTCGGCTTTCCGTCCGGCGCTTAGCACGACCTTTCCTGCTTTGGTTCCCAGTGCGTCGGTCGCTAAAGAGTCAGCTGCCGAGTTGTAGAGACGCACTACGTGGAGGTAGCGAACTGAATTCAGCTTGCTGACCAATTTCTTGTGGCATGCTAACTCGACTTGCAATGCCTCCTTCTTACACGCGATCACCCCCATGGATTGCTGGATCGCAAGCCGGGAGTCGCCCACGATGATCAAATCCGTCACCCCGCGCTCAATGGCCGAGGTCACCCCATTGTTCATGCCGGTGTACTCGGCTATATTCACCGTGGTCGATGGGAGGTGCGCGCTCGCAGCGATCTCAATGTTCCAGTCTGGCAAACGCCACAGGATCCAAGAACCCCCGAACCCGCCGTGTTTAGCAGTCTTCGCCGATCCGTCAAACGACAGGACGTGTCCCTTGAAGTCTCGGGGCACATGCGCATACAGCAATTCTGGGTCCATGCGGACCACGGCCGAGTTCTTGGACGGTGGAGTGACATGCGTTAGTAGCTCGCCCAATCCCACTGCCGGCGTGATGGACGCTTGGAGCAACTGGGCGAAATCCGTGTCCCGTTCGCGGACCCGCTTGACCTTTAGGTGGAACGGTGATAGCAGTACCGCAAAGCTGACTGCTCTGCCGTAGAGAGACTTCGACTGGAACACCCATTCGAGAGTCGAGTAGCGGGTGTAAACATGGATGGTCTTCCCGGCGAGCAACGTGTGGCACACCTTGATGAGCTGTAGCAAGGCGAGAACTTCTTTCTCGGCGGGATGGTAGCCGAGTTCATTATCCTTGAGGACTCGGCCGCAGAACCGCACTGGATGGAGCTTCCCGTCGTGGAGCTGCATCAGCGTGCTACTCAGAGCCCACTCATTGGCGAATAGCATAACGTGGACGTCCTCAGCCGAGTTGAAGTGGCGGAGTATGGGTGCGTCGACCACCTGCTGTTTTAACTCGGCGAACGCCGCTTTTGCGGCCGTCAGATCACCGCTGGGTCCGAAATCTTCGTCCTTCAGCTGATAGAGGACCGCCCCATATACAGCCAGGCTCTGGATGAACCGGCCGTAATAGTTCAGCGCTCCTAAGAATGCTTGCATCCCCTTCTTCGTCGTTGGGAACGGTAGCCCGGCTATCGCCAGCATTTTTTTCTGGTCGGCTTGGATTCCAGCCGAGGTCACCCCATGTGACAGGAAGTCGACTTTAGGTTGGACGAAGGTACTTTTCGGGAAGCTGACGCTGATGCGGCATTCAGTGAAGCGTTGCAGCAATCGGTCAAGCGTCCCCAAGCAATCGTCGAACGTCCTTCCACCGAAGCAGATATCGTCCGCAAACGATCGCCGGTCGAAAACCGGTGCAAGGCACGATTCATCAGGTTCACCCGTCCGGAACATGTCGGCTTCTGGGCTGTTAATGAATTCTTCCAATGGGTCAAACTCAGCTTGAGCTCGGCGGTCGGCCTCAAACTTGGTCTGGCCACTGGCTTCAAAGTCGATGTCGGCTGCGAGCCGTTTCCGCTGAGCTTCTGAGGCGGCTTCCGCTTGTTGGATGCGCTTGGCGAACACCTTCCAGCCTTGGGTTGTACGTAACCCCGCAGAGCGTTATCAATAAGGCGCTGGTAGATCATTGGAGCATTCTTTAATCCGAAGGGCATCCGCAGCCACTCGAAGTGACCAAGCGCGCAAACAAAAGCCGAGATCCAACGCGCCCGTCGAGTCATCATGACCGCCCAGAAACCGCTAGCAGCATCCAAAGAGCAGAACCATAGGTACGCTTCCAACTCCGTGAAGAGATCGTCCACTAGCGGCATGGCATACTCCATGAGCAACGTAATCGCGTTTACCAGCTTGTAGTCGATACACAACCGAATGTCGACCCCATTCTTCTTTAGGACAATCACGATGAGTGATGCCCATGGGCTGTTCGAGAAGGCAATTAGCCGAGCCCGTAACAGCGCCTTGAGCGGCTCGTACAACTTGCCGAGATGCTTCAGCGGAACTCGGCGGGCTCGTTGGCGGATTGGCGGATGCCCCTGTACGTCGATGTCACACACTACGCCGTATGCTGGTGGAGGTAGGGCATTACCACTGGATATCATGATCTTTTCATGGCTCTTCAATACTTCCACCAGCCGAGTAGACTGTGGCCGAGTGTGCGCCGAGCTCCGAACGTTTGGCGCTTTATAGTCGAGTGGCGTCGACACCGCTTCAGTCAGATCGGGCAGGAACGCTAACTCGCGAGCATAGTCTTCGAGCTCCAAGTTCGTTGCTTGGTGCTCGAACTCGGCTGAGTCTCCCGCCGAGTCGCCTCGGCCATCTGTCTCTTCCTCGTACTTGGCTGCCAGAAGGTAACGTAAGCGCAGGTCTTCCTCCGGGTCTGGCGACATGGGCTCGTCGCTCACATCGACCTCATCTTCGATCCTTGGACTCGGCGGCTTGGGCCCGGGGTCGTCGATGATCGTCCAGTCAGACAAATCGCTGGATTGCTCACTTTCACACTGATCTGCTGCACAGGCGTTTTGGCTGGGCGCTTCTTGACCAGCCGTCACTGTGATCTCCGCTCGACTAGGCGGGCCATTGACCAAGTCAGCAGTAGGCTCCGCGCTCAATGCTAATTCCTCAGGCGCTAGGGTAGCGGTAGCCGAGTTCGCTGACTCTGTCAGAGTCGAGGGTGGACTATCGACTGCTTCTGCCTCGGCTCGCTCCTCCGACTCGGCTAACTTCTCCCATTGCTGGGCGCAAGTCAGTGC